GGAGTTATTGTTTTTTCCTTATTGCCTTGAGTGGTATGGTCTAAAGTGTACATCCTCTCATGTACATCTTTTCTCTATTTAATACAAATTCAGTTACTTCTTTCGGATAAAAAAAAAAAAAAGAGACAATATGTAATTTAGCCAAATTTGAATATTCAATTGAGTCAATTCAACTCTAAACAGAAGAGAATGGTAAAACAGGATTAATGCAGCTAATGCCATAAAGTTTGGATGATGATGATGAATTAATCCCTTGTATATGTATTAATCTACACAATATGCAAAAATGAAATCAGGCCTCCAGCAACAGGTGAGGTTATAGCTCATAGTGGTGAGTGATAAACAAGTAAAAAGGTTATCACCCAATGTTGGTCCCTTATATGGGGATAGGGATGTCAATGGGTCGGGTTTGGCATGGGTTTGCCTTGATCCTAACCCAACCCTCCAGTGGCCCAATTCGAATCCGACCTGACCCGGAATAAAAATATATAATTTCCGAATCTGACCCAATCCTATAGGGTCTAACCCAATACCAATCCAAACTTGAACCGACCTGGCTTAAAAATATATAATTTCTGAACCTGACCCAAGCCTATAGGGTCTAACCCAATACCAATCCGAATCCAACCCGACCCGGCTTAAAAATATATAACTTCTGAACCTGACCCAAGCCTATAGGGTCTAACCCGATACCAACCCAACCCGACCCGTAGCATTTCAACTGTATTTTTTTTAACACATTTTGAAGACCTAAAATCCATTAATTTAAGTTAGAAAATTGTTTTATAGATTCTAAAGGTCATAACCCAACGGGGTGGGTCAGCCAAAACCCGAAACCAATTCGGATTGAATAATCAAAACCCTAACCCGACCCTAAAGCCGAATATGTTTGATCCTAACCAAACCCTAAAGCCGAATATGTTTGACCCTAACCTGACCCTATAGGATCGGGTCAAGCCGGTTTTATTGTTTAACCCAACCCATTGACACCCCTATCTAGGACCTTGGGAATGGATTAAATATGGATTAAACTTTGGCATTTTTCTTCTTTTTACTACAATAGGTGGCTAATCGCATATTAAAAAAAATGCATATAGGAAGAATAAAACCAGAAGTGATTTGTTACAAGTGGAAGGGCTAGAAGAGTTAAGAGTAGACCAAAAAGGACATAGGTAAATATAGTAAGAAACGATTTTAAGCACTAATAATTTAACATGGATATGGTTTTAAATAGAAGGGACTGGGTAAATTGGACTCATGTAGCTGACCCCATATAATTGGGTTAAGGCAAGTGATGGGAGTGGGTTTGCTACTTGGGTGGTTTAACCAAGAATGCTGAAGAATCAAGAATCTTTGACATGCAAATTGCGTTTTAACTCAAAATGGCCTCAAGGTCTCCTCTTACTATCCTCTATTAAGAAGCTAATTTTAAGCCGAAAATCCTTTACCACATGGCCAGAATAAACCCTTACTTTTTGAATAATTCTATTATTGCAATACTGAAACTTTCAACAATCAGAATTACTTAGTGTGATGTATAGGACTGATGTGGAATGGATGATTAACATGGTTGAAATCTAGAGGGTCTCCTTCGGATGGATTAAGAAGGAAATCTCTATGGATGATGATGCATGGTTTTCGTTTATACAAAACCTATGGGTTATGAAATGATCTGGAGACTTGTGAGGAAAATCGATAGATCTAACAAGTTAGGATCACCAATGTAATTAGTTATATGTTGGCAGTCCAAATTGTTAGACAGCCTACTAAAAGACCATCAAGAAAGTTTAGAAGAATATTGGATAGCAATATTCTGATACGCTCAAGTTATCTAACAAGAGGGAGAAGGATCTAGAATAAGGAGAAGAGAGAGAGAGAGAGAGTTTGTTTGTAGAAAAGCCAATGCCAACTCCATTCATTCAGGCTATATTTATAGCCTTATGGTGCTACAAACTGGGAGTAGAAATAGGAACTACTGCCCCTTAATCTTAGGAGCTTATCAACAAAAAAAATAGAATGCACTTATCTAGGAAACAGAATGCACTTATCTAGKAACAGAATTGAAGACTTATCTAATGCACTTATCTAGGAAACAGAATGCACTTATCTAGGAATAGAATTGAAGACTTATCTATTCTAACAGAATTAAAACTGAATGGATAAGGCTTATCCCAACTAAGAGCTAACATGACCGGGTCTTCTGCTACTATCCACTTTGACCGGGTCTTCGGTTGCTGCATGCATGCACGTATCATATTCAATATTGTATATGGACCATTTCACTCGTTTCACATGCCCATACCTTCAAATATCAATACATTATACATATATCATATTGATATTTTGAAATTTGTTCTTCACTATAATCCATGGTTCTAAAAAACGATCTGAAAATGGAATTGTTCTTGTCACCCGTTTTTGGGTCGACTACCCGATCATCCGGTTTGAATAGACAGTTCGTTCTGATAAATAAATTAAAAAATAAATAAATGATCAAAACCGTTGAATGGGTTGACAAGTTGACAATTCGATCGCCCGGGTCAACAGGTTATTGACTTTTTCAACAGTTTTTTTTCAAAGATCGAATTTGGGGTAAAACGGAACTGATTGCCTGAACGGTTCCCGAGCCGAACGGTCCAACCATCCAGGTGAACAGTGGTTCAAAAACCATGCTACAACCACTTAAGGACGTTATCAACTAAATTAATGGGTATCCATGTCTACAGATTTCAAACCCTTTATATGACCCAATGACCATTCCAGGTTGTATGAAATAATGGTTTTTGAGCTAGGACTATTCACGCAACCTGCAGTGAAGATTTTGGTTAGAGGTGCAACTCAGGTTGGTAGGAAAAACAAATCAAATGGACTTTGTTCCTAAGGCTGCCTTTGGAAACAATGCAACTAAGTGTATGCAAATATGTAGAGTGTAAAACGGTCCATATAAATTATAAAATTGGAGTTAGTTTTGCACGGACAAATTTACCTTCTTACCAAATTGACTTTTAGTTATAATAGATGCAAACACGAAGCATATGCCTTTTTTTTATCAAAATCCCAATTTAATGCAAATTTACTTCTTTTTTATTGATGTACTTTTACATCTTATTATCAATGTAAATATGCATTAGTCTATCATTTGTCAATACGTAAATGTAATGTTGCCAAATACATACAAAAGTGAACCAAAGTGCAAATTTATCCTGAACTGAGATTTACACTCTATTTGCATTGTTTCAAAACGCAGGGGAAAGCTCAATTTGAAAAAAGTGCAAATACAAATATATAGAGTGCAAAACCTTGTATTTTGTACTATTTTGTATGTATTTGTATTGTACATATTTATATTGGTAGTCTTTTCAAATTAAACCTAAATTTTAATTGAATGTATGGCTTTTAGTGTTTCTATAGCAAATTGTCAGAATATCAGCTTCAAAATACCCGTTTTAGTTCCCATTGTTTGGTCGCTTGGGTCTAGAATATGTTCAAGTTCGATCAATATGCCACGAGAACCATTATAGTATTATTGTACCTTTAGAATCAAATCAAGCTCATCAAGGGAGACTCCCCGTAATTGGAATTTGGAATTCATCACTTTGGGGAAAGAACCACGTAAACTGAGGTTCAGTGGACACGAAACCTACGCGTTGGGCTGATCAATTATGGTAAACAGAATGAAGAATCAAGCAACATGAAGTCGAACTTGATCTTTCAGCAGTGTTTTTTTTATATGAACCACACTTTTTCGTTGAAGATGCTCATGCTGCCCGTAGTAACTAAGTCTTCAAAGAACCCCAGAAAGATGGAAGGATAAATCAATTTGTTGAGGGCTTCCTTTTGCTTGTTGGGCTCCTGTACGTCCATGGTGCAGAACCCATGTGCTTTGATCCATGATCGAACGGTTCAGAATTACCCAGTTGACTGTTGAACATGAGCAAGTTTTACTACAGGGATTAGATTTGGATAGATGTTTTTATTTATACATTTCAAAGAAGAAAAGATAACAAAGAGAAAGCAATTCATGATGTTGATATCATTCGTATTCCGTAATTGCATGGTACACACAGCACAATCAGCCTTCCACTGAATTCTGGAACTTAACTTTCCCCCATAGACGTTGTGGCTGTGGAACCTCCTGAAAGCATAAAGCTAGACATGTATTTTGATGGGTTCCATTTTATAGAGAAACTCAAGAGTTGCATAAACTCACTGTTCACTAACATAATTTGCATTATCTTTGTAAAATAGAAAAATTTGTTCACTGAGTCTATTTTACATTGATGCCGATGCTCTAGAAAACATCAATATGTTTGGAATTATTTTTTCATAAAAAATGGTGCTCTAAGTCACATCTTAGAAATCGAGAAAGCATGGTTTGGAGTAACGTTAAATTTGACGTTTACTGGGATTGCAATTCATTGCTGCCAATAAAGACATGATGTGATAGTGGTGTGCACTTCCTATAATGGGTATCAATGCTAAAACCAAATATAGAGTACTGACACCAAACAGAAAGTGTTGTTGCTCCAAGAAACGTCATGCCTGACAATAACATTTCCAAACAGAAAAAAAAAAAAAAGACAATGTTTTCTCACCGTGCTTCTAACTCACACATCAGCAGCACTGTTTTCTATATCTGCAACATCATGCCAAACATATACTAAAAAAGGCTGATTGTAGACAGGGACTGGATTTTGGGATGAAATTTGTTTCAGGTGCAGTTTGGAAAAAGCACAAGTACAAATATATATAGTACAATTACATCCAAAACAATACAAAATATAAGATTTTGCAGTCTAAATATTTGTATTTGTACCCCTTCCAAATTGTTCCAGAGGACAGAGAAACATGAACCCCATTTGGATTTTCGAAATACTTTGCTGCATGGAAAATTCCTAGATTGTATTGTTCAGGAAATTCAACAACCTTCTCACATAGCAACTAAAGCTATATTTGTTTTGCCGGAAAAAAATAAGAAACAAGTAGAAGGTTGAGGGAAAGTTTTTAATAAATTTTTTGAAATTTGTTAACAACTTTCCCTCAATTATCTGCTTCTCTCTTATTTTTTATCAATCTGTACACAACCTCAATTGAAAACCATTTTGTGGATACTTGATCTAAAGAGGGAACCTCCCCTCAACTTTTTCCTATAACCTCAGCTGAGTTGGATGAAGTGGAGAGACTCCTATATTCTTACTACTGTAAAAGAATACAAATATATGCAGAATATATAAAAAAAAAATGTTGTGAGTGCATAACCTAGTCTTTTTCCAATTAAGATTTCACCACTTGATGGAATTTTGTCCCTGACATGTCATCAAAGATTTTGACAAGAGGTTCAATTATTAACCCAACATGCCCATCACATGAATTATTAACCCAACATGCTGAGATTTCCCTCAAACCAAATCTATTCACACAAGGCAAAAATATGGAATGGGCGGGGCCCACCATAAACAAAGTGTGTGGGTCCCAATAAGAGCATTAGGTGTTACTTTCCTTACTCCTTGTCTGGTATAGGGGGTGTCAATTGGACTGGATCTTATTTGGTAATGGAATTGGACTGGATTTGGTTCAATCCGATCTAATCCAATGTGAATCCATTATAAATGGATCAGGTCCAATCCGATCCAATGAATATTTTGGACCATTTTAGACCAATCCAATTCAATATCTTGATAATTCAATCTATTCAAAATTGTTTTAATTTAGATTGGATTCAACCTAAACCTGCTCTATTAACATTTATATATCAATGGACCAGATATTGATTTAATCCAACCCAATCAAATATAAATTTATTATGATGGATCAGGTCCAATCCAATCTAATAAATATTTTTTGAACTGGATTGATCCAATCCAATATGTCTTGTTAGGTCCATCCTATTCGTCCAAATTGATTTTGGACTGGTCCATCGACACCCTTACTCTGGTATTGTCCATTAATCAATCCCATTCTAAATTCAACTGCCTTCAGGGAACATTATGGTGCAAAACATAGGGCATAACCCAACTCGAAATATGAAGCCATGAGACAACTCAATAACTCAACCTTGTTAGTTGTGGCCCTAAGAACCACTTTGTGGTCCTCTGAACTACTGTTAGCTTAAGTCTTAGTATTTTACCTTTCAAAGTCCCCATCATCCTCAGGCCATTTAGTCACTGAATTATAAATTAATTGATCAAGGTGCTTACAGGAACCAAGGGAGAGAGCCTATACCACCAAGGGCTACTGAATTCGTCAAACTAAAATGCTACTGACGTAGAACAAGTAGTTATTTAATTAATTAGTTTTCTATATTAACTATGTTGCTACCTTTTTCTTGTTCTTCCACATGTCTCTAGCTCCACTTTAAACATTAAGTGGCAAAGGAAATTTCCAAGCACTCTCCACATAAATGTTCCACCAGGTAGAAAACCTCAGTAGTCGTTTTTCTAGTTATTTCACCAAAAACACCTAGACCAATACTATATATACCCTTTAGACACTCAATCTCCACAGCATTTTTTCCTTTCCAAAGTAGAGATGAAGAACTTAACTTGTCTTGGAAATAAGTTAGAGCATCTTTGCAGCTCTTCATGTATCAAAGTTACTTGTCTTAGCAAATCCTTTTGGTGTCTAATGGTGTGGCCTTTTCTTCGGTTCTTAATCTTCCATTTAAACCCACTTTGGGTTCAGATTTGTTACTTTGTATCTATTTCCTTTATGGGATTTTTAGTGCTGAAAACTTTGAATCCCAGGCCTGACTCAATTAGGCCTAAGGACTTAGATGTGTTCTTTATGTCTGTGTCTGCCTCAACAGTTTCGAGCATGTCAACGATTGAAATGGAGGTTTTCTCCAATGCCCAACTTGTAGTTTTAACTGTTTTAATGTTACTAGGTGGGGAAGTCTTTCTGTTCATGCTTGAACTTCAAATAGCAAGGTCCAAGTCCAAGAAACAGGAGAGGATTGAGAACAGAGAAGTCGACTCAATTGGCTTCGAACTAAGTTCTTCATGTCCCAGAAATGTTGTCAATCGAATTGATGAACTAGGTCTCATCAGAGTGATCACAGTGCCCCACAATTCAATTATGGAAGCTAGGAATGAAATTAAGTCGATGGGTAGTAAGGATGTTGAGTATAATTCAATAAAGTATTTAAATTATTCAGTCTTAGGTTATTTCCTAGTGATTCATGTAGTTGGGTCTGCATTGATTTTATTATATCTGATCTTTGTTCCAAGTGCAGGAGATGTACTGAAGAACAAGAATCTTCAGATACAAACATTCTCTGTCTTTACAACTGTCTCTACTTTTGCCAACTGTGGTTTTCTCCCTACCAATGAAAACCTGATAGTTTTTAGGAAGGATGCAGGATTACTTCTATTGCTCATCCCTCAGGTCCTTCTAGGGAACACTTTGTTTCCACCATGCCTGAGATTTATGATATGGGTCTTGTGGAGGCTTTCTAGGAGAGAAGAATTCAATTACATATTGAATAATACGAGGGAGATGGGATACATTCACTTATTCCCCAATTTGCACTCTTTCCTTTTAGTTGTGACTGTTTTCGGGTTCATATTGATACAGTTCATACTCTTTTGTTCCATGGAGTGGAATTCAGAAAGCTTGGCTGGGATGAATCCTTATCAGAAACTAGTAGGTGCCTTGTTTCAAACAGTGAACTCAAGACATGCCGGTGAATCGATCATTGATCTCTCAATAGTCTCCCCTGCAATCCTGGTGCTATTTGTCGTTATGATGTTAGTCTCTCTCTCTCTCTCTCTCTCTCTCTCTCCCAACCTATCTATCTCTGTTTGTTTATCTGTATATCTATCTGCCTTCTAAAAATCCTATCTCTATCTCTCAAGACATAAAAAAGTAAAGTAGGAATCTGAGATTCTGAATTATGTTTAGGTATATTGCATCTCATAATTTAAAACATTATAATACCTTTCTTTTATTCTTATTCTTTTCTTATTCCCTCTCAAAAACAATATAAAGAAATCAATTATTAGCTCCTTGTGAAGGAAAAGAAGAATTGGAAAGCTCAAAACTTGAAATAAATATTCTTCCTAGAATATTACTTTCCAGAACGCTTTAACTTTTATATTTATTTCCTTGTTACCTTTCTCCATTTGAACTCAGATTTTAGAACTTCTAAACATGTATAATTTATTCTAACCATGATCATCTCATTAGCATAATCACAATTATAACCATGAATTGAGTAGATCTTAACTCCTTTTATTTATTTACATGGGAAAGGTTTCCTAATTGGGTTTATAATCATGAATTGACTAGAATTTAACTCCTTTTATTTATTTAATTAAATGGAAAAGGATTCTTAATTGGGTCAAGTAGGGGCCGTCTATCCTTGCTTAATTCCACCTATTTCTGCTACATGGAGGTCTCCTGTGACCAATACAAACCATCCATCAAATAAGAGTCCCACTGGATTAATTGTTCACGTCTTCAATCCTAAACTCCATACCAATCTTTACATCCAACCTTATATGAGACCAATAATAGCCATCCATATTTATTAATATTTTTATATATAAATTATCCATAAAAAAGGGGGGGTTCCTTGAACAAGTAGGAGATTCTTGAGTCGTTTAGGCTGTGTTTGGTTTGAAGGTAGGGAATCCTGTACAAACCTTAGGGAGGCTCATTAAACAATCCAACTAGCAAACCTAGTTCCATTTATAGAACTATCTCCAGATTAACAGTTGGTAATCTTCTCCACATTGACCATATATATATATATATATATATCCTAACAGATGGCTTAATTGGTGTTGATAAACCAGAACATTAAGAATTCTCTTCCTATTCTGAAGTTTTCAATTTGAAGAATATATGCTTGAACATTGGTATTATATTAATTGGTTCTCTTCTGATGCCCTTCTTTTCTTTTGACTCCATTTATTCCACCAAAAGGGATAGGAATTTTTCAATCTGAAATATATCATTTTTTATCACACTTGTATGGTTAAAACTTGAGAAAATTCCCAATAATACAAGGGTTTGATTTGAATGTGATGCTCTTACTCTACAGGTACCTCCCTCCTTATACTTCTTTTCTACCCATTAAAGATGAAGAAAAATCACAAAGAACTACAAATAGGATGAGAAGAAGAGAAAGTCTGTTGGAGAATCTCATATTTTCACAGCTCTCTTATTTAGTCATGTTCATCATCCTCATTTGCATTACAGAGAGGAAGAAGATGAAAGAAGATCCCCTCAACTTTACAGTGTTAAACATCATTATGGAAGTGATCAGGTTTTGTCTTCATTAACTTTTCATTTTCTTATTAGATGTCTATTATTTGACCAAGTGAAAAACAAACAAGGAAAGAAATGCAAACAAAACCCTCAAAGGGAGAACAATTCTGTCCATTAATTTTCATACCCCTTAAAAGATATCAATGTTGCTCGCACTTGGGTTGGCTTCCATGAAAGGTGACAAGGCTCTCATATCTGCTGAACCAAAGCGAGTGTCTAATGGAGCCCAGCATTGAAGGGGCTTCAGTGGAGCACATACAAGCTGTGAACTACCCAGATGCTAATTGCTCTGATGAAAATAGGAAACCATGGATCTAGACAAGCCTACTGGCCATAAGCAGGTTACTGCTGCTTGAAGTTTTAACCTTCATCTCCAAGTAAATGTGCCACCAGACTAGCTATTGAAGCAAGATCCTAGGAAAGATGAAGTTTAGCTTAAGTAGTTACTAAAGTAATATGTAGTACTGATCACTTTCTTGCATGCCTCATTCATTTGAGATTGTGATTTTAACTCAGACTGGAAATGACTGACAGTGCATATGGAAATGTGGGCTTTACAAGCGGCTATAGTTGCAAACGGCAATTGAAGCTTGACAGTCACTGTAAGGACACCTGGTATGGATTCTCTGGAAGGTGGAGCAACAAGGGCAAATTGATTCTCATCTTGGTCATGTTTTTTGGAAGACTTAAGAAGTTCAATATGGAAGGAGGTAGAGGCTGGAAGTTGTTATAAAAGAATTAATAGATTGCATATGATCTCCAACATTAGAAAATTGAGCACATCTACATGATGCAAGAGAATAGGTCTGATACCAAATAGGAAGTAGAAAAGAAAGCATTTTGTTATTTTCATGATTATGTTGCACTTGTTGAGGACAAAATGTTTTTGGAGTCCATTTGTACATGGATTTTTGGGCACATCCAATCACATATATAGAGAACTTCAATATGTGAGTGTTTCTGCAATGTGGAGGATCCAGGCCATCCATTCTTAGGAGGCAAGTAGAATTAGCTAGGTGTTCAATACTGCTCCAAGCTACATCAGCAATGCACTTTCTTGTGTTTGATGTTTCTCCCAATAGATATCAACCATGCATTCATGATTAAAGCTTTTCAATATAAAAATTGCTCAGAAAGAGGGATTATCATCCTTAGACCTTAGGTTGTATTTGGTCCATACTTTGGAAATGAAAAGAAGGATGCATGGAAAAGGAATCTTGAGTCCATTGCTTTCTTCCACCTGGGTCCAACGGTTTGTTAAAAGACTACATATGTTTTGTAGTCATTAGGAATGAGCATGGGTAGATTCAGTTTGGTAGAACCTAGAACCCACTTCATAAGGTACATATAGAACCAAAACCTACCCTGTCAAGATTATTTTCAAGGACGGTTCTAGCCATGATGGTTCTAAGGTCGTTCTAGAGTCTATCCGTGGAAACTGTTATTTAAAAAGATAATAATATGATATCTTCTCATATTTTCCCTTTCAAAAGATTTGACCTTGAATAACAATCTATTATAAACATTCCATATTTCAAATCCATATATTCATTCAATCTCTAAGAAAATAAATTAAGCATAACCTGTAAACAACCTTAATAATATCACATAATCATCACTAATTAGGGTGCTCACAGTTTGGTTAATTGAACCATAGGCTCTTTTTTGAAACTGAACTAGTACCACCCGTTTTTGCAATTTTCCAAACCAAAGCCGAACCAAATCAACTGGTTGACCAGTTTTGGTTCTATGATTTTTTGGCTTTTTATATTTGTAAGATATATTATAAATAAAATATATAAATATATATAATATTATATATTTTAAATAGATAATTATAAATATATATATAATATAGATAATATATGATATATATTAAAAATACTATACATATATACTAGTTGATTTTTTATTGGTTTTTCAAAACTACCAAACTGAAACCAAACCAATCAATTTGGTTAATGGGTTTTTGATCGGTTTTCTCAGTGCAGTTCAGTTTTTGGGTTTTTTGGTTGTTGATGAGCACCCATCACTAATTTATAATCCAACTGCACACACATTCCATAATTTAATTAAATGCAATCTCAATGCAAATAGAATATAATCCACAATCAACCCAAATAGTGTAAACCACCAAACCTAGGAACCAGCCTGGGTGGGGTCAGTTCTAAGAATTTGGAACTGAACCCTACCTGGTTCAAAGTCAATTCCAAGTAGAGTTCCGGGTAGAATCAACCCATTTGCTCACCTCTAGCATCATGGGCCTCTAGGACGTGCTACCCCTGGTCTTCAATAGTATGTTCACTTTTTTTACCGAAAGCTATAAATGTAACTACATATTTTAAATGACAAAATTACAATGCAATCATTCTCCTCTTCTCCATACCTTCTGAAAATCTTTATAGGATAGAAACAACCCCCCCTCACCCCCCCTATTGGCATGCATTCCTCTTTATGACACTTGTCCCACAAAATTAGAGTCTGAGGTTTCTCATTTGTCTTATCAAAGACATTGGTTTCTATATACTAATAGGACCCAATTTAACTTATTAAATGAGGTAGCAAGTAATAATTGAAATTACATTTTCAACTCTTACATTTAGAAATGGATTAAGTACACAAATATGGTCATTATAGTAGCAATTAAAGGTGGTAGCATTAAAACTATAGTAAATGATTTTTATACCCTTTCTCAAACAAAAAAAAACAAAGGGTAATTTTAATCAAAAAATAGTTTCAAGCATACCTTAAGTATAAGACTTAATGAGAGATGATTAAATGAGGTAGAAAGTAATAAATGAAGTTACATTTTCAACCCTTATATTTAGAGATGGATTAAATACACAAGTATGGCCATTATAGTACCCATTAAATGTGGCATTAAAACTATAATAAATGACTGTTACACCCTTTCTCAAACAAAGAAACAAAAGATAATTTTAGTCCAAAAAAAGCTTTACACAACATTCACACTTTTATATATAGCATAGATGTGATAATATAAATATATAATTGAACTTAGATTGACTCAACAACCCAAGTCTATGTCAAACCTAAGTTTCAAGCAAAAGCCCGGTTGGAGACTAAAAACTCAAGCCCAATTTATGCAAAAGGTTAGTTTGGGTTGGGCATGTCAAACTTGCAGCCTTAGTTCCAAGGTAAACTTAGGGGATATTTGGTATCGATGCCATCTATTTGAAAAATGGTGTCATGTCGGGGCCACATTGGCAATTGCACTTTTCAATGCCTACTATGCTGTTTGGTTCAGGCAATTTTTGAAAAAAAAATGCAAAATGGGCACACATCGTAAATTGCATTCTTCCCGATGCATGAAATGCCAAATTGCTTGACGTTTCATGCATCAGCGAGCTGTTGCATTCAACGGTTATATGATGTGGTTCTTACATATATCCTAATTGTCATATGAAAAGCATGTGATGGGTGCATATACATGAAAAATAGTGATAGAAATCACCTTACCAAACAGCATTTCCACTTCCAAAAAACGCCCACGCTATCAAGCACCATCTTAAATTGTTTGAGCTGCACCACTTCCAATTTTCCTAATGCATATGTATTTTTATAAATAACAATTGCTTAGGCCCGTTTGATATCCATCCCAAGAATCCAATTTGATCTCTCTCTCTTCCACATTAATGCGATTGATGTCCATTCACATTAATGAGAGGTGTGTTATTGTTAATGATATCAACGAATCCATGGTAGAATGCTCATCTATAAATGCCCGTCCCCCTTTTCATTCCAATCAAGCTTTTTCAACCTATACTCTAGCCCTTTAAATCCCCAGTTGCAACATTTCTAAAACATTAAAAAAAAGTCCAAGAATATAGAAAGAATTATAAAACCCCAATAATTCAAGAAAATTCAAAGTAGAGAGAGAACTAAATTGCTCCCTAGGCTGTGTTTGGTTGCAGTGCAAATTTATTTGCACTAGAACAAATGCATGGGAATGCAAATGAAAAAATGCAAATTCTTCTTTAATTTTGTTTTGGATTTTACTTTATTATGCTTCATGTCTTAATTTACCTCATTTGTAATACAATCAAACAAAATAGCTAAAATTTGAAACAAAAAAAGGTCAAAATTTACACTCAAATCAATTGCACTGCCATGATTTTGCATCAGTGCAAATTTATTTGCATTGCAACCAAACACAGCCCTAGTAACACTTTAATTTGTAAACCATTTTATTATTATATCTTGACACCCCTTTCATCCAATCATTACACCATTTTCTAACTTTTTCTTTACCTTTTAATTTTCCTTTGAAAGTGTATTTTCAAATGAATTTGTCCTTTCCTACATGGGTAATGCTTGACAAGTAAGGGATCCCATGTTTCCCACTTTCACCTTTCATTATTTGCATCTTCTTGTGGTTTAAAGGACTGAAGGAATCCCTCTTATGGGCCTCCTTATTATGTCATGATGAATATAGCCTCCTCAAATTTATTTTACTTTCTTTCAAACACTTTTTTCTGAAAATCTTTTCCCTTTTTCAAAAGTTATTTTCTTAAATTATCTATCAACATATAATAAAACAACATCCTTATTATATATTGATAAATCATTGAAAGATACATTCAATCACAAATTCAATTGAGTATTTTTTTTTTTTTTTTGAAACCTCCTTTTTCTTTCACCACCCTTTTGAAAGATGGTTTTATGTTGGCAATCATACTTTAGTGAATACTGAATAGAGATTAAGGTTCCCAGAATTTTCTTCAATTCATATAAGTTCCCCATTTTCACATACCATTTGGAGTCTTTTTTCGTTAGATGTATATTTGGTGGATCCTTCACATATCACATCTTACTCTTGGAAAAATTCTATTTGAAAGTAAATTAATTCCTAATTGCCAAACTTTTTATTGTGGTTAAGGATCTTAAAAAGTAAATACTCAATCATGTGAAGCTTGATTAAAATTAAAAATAATATGTTTTAACCTTTAGTTCACAGTATTTGATTCTGAACAAAGAATCAAAAGTTAGCCGGTTCATTGAAAACTGATTAGGTTAAATTATGTGAGTTTTATGGATCATCCTAGCTTCATGGTCTAGACAATCTATACAACCATATCCTAGCTTAAATGGATAAGTCTATTGTTTTCCAACTCAACCTTTGAGCTCTATCTAGGTTTATAAATATTTCTAATTCCATGGACTAGAAACTGAGATGAAAATGCAATTGAAGGGGAAGATAATTCCATAATCTGTTGAATTCTTCAAAAAACCTAATATGTTTTAAGGCTTCAATTCTACATTGCTGCAGATTTTGAAATTCTACAAAGGGAGACCTGTGTTGAGATTGGGTTCAAGGCATATTTTAGTGAGCAATGAGTGAAGATTAATTCCATACAGTAACTACCAGCCTCATTGGCCTTGTATATAGGCAAAAAAGAAAAAGAAAAAAGAAAAAAATTTCCAACACGTTCCAACATGATTTCTTCCACAATCTCATACAAAGTGGGTTCCATTTTTGTACAAATTACAGGCAATAAGTCCGGATTAGCTGCACCTGATGGCTGGAGTTCAGATCTCCTAAAAAAAATAATAATAATAAAAAAGAAAAAGAAAAGAAAAATTTTCCAACACATTCTAACATGGTCTGTGTCGGCCCATCTCATATTACATAGTGGGTTCCAGTCGTATGGTGAGATGTGTCGACATAAATCTTGTTGGAAGCAGGTTGGGAAGAAGACCCTAACGGTTGTGTTAGGGGGTGTTTAACCAATGATAATACCCCATGACAGCCATCAAATGTAGGGATAAGATTAACTGAACACAATAACTGCTCAATGGGGTGTGAAATCAATGATAATGCCCCCAAATCAGTCATAAAATAGGGTCCGCAA